GAAGATGCAAGTTCCCCTGTGTCCTTACTAAATGTGCTGACCACACGTTTCAGTAAACTATGCAGAGCACTACTGTTTTTCCTTAAAGAGCTACAATTAAAGAAAATAGAGAAGAGATATTAAAAACTATAAATAAAATAAAGAGCAGACAGGCATGGTGGCACACACCTATATCCCCAGTTCTTAAAAGGCAGAGACAAGAAAATCAGTGAAAGTTCTAGACCAGCCAGGGCTTCACAGCCAGGGCTTGACCCTAGCTCAAAAAGAAAATCAACAAAAAAGGAAAAGAAAGAAAACATACATTGAAATGTAAGTATGTTAGACTAGTATAGGCTCTGCTTCCTGAGTGCTAGGATTAAAAGAAGGTGGCATCACACCTGGCCTCAGATTGTTTTCATGAGATAAATTTTGGCAAAGAGGAATTGCTGGGTTTGGAAGATGTGTAATTGTTAGGGGATTCTGGATACATGGTTTTGAAAACATGGCTTATTTAGGGCTAAGTGCTGCTGACATGTAGGAATGTATGTTCACACCTAACATCTGGCATTGGGTTTTTACCTTTACCAATTGAGTGAAAAATCTAATTGTAGTAACTGGATTTCAAAGGAGGTTAAACAAGTTCTGGAAAGCCGATAGAACATTCTGTTTTCTCTATATTGTCTGTATTTCAGTCACTTTTCTTTCTGTCTTTAGTGTTTTCCTTTTAGCTTGGCCAGCCTCTTTGTAGAATAAAGATACTAATTACTAGTCTTCGTGCCAAATGCACATGCTTTCCTCCGCTTTTTTGGGATTTTCTTTGAATTATTTTTAGACAGGGTTTTGATTTTATATGTAGTTTAATCCTTCAGTTTCATTTTCAGAGTCTATAAGCTCTACCCCTCTGCAGGTTACTTTATTGTAGAGTTTTTGTTTTTTAAAATATGATTTGACCATTCTTGAATTGGGTGTCCTGTGTAAAATGAGGTTCCTCTTTAAGTACTCCATCAGCCAATAATAAGTGATTAACACAGTCACATGTTATTTATTTATATATATATATTTATATATATATATTTTAAACCTATCTTGTCTTAGATCTGCATTCTTTGTAACTTGTATGTTTTACATTGTGCTGTAAAAGTGTACATGTAATTTTTGTGCTTTTTATTTGCATGGTATTACTGTTATTTTTCCAGATTAAAATTTGTTCATTAAAAAAAAAAAGAAAAAAAAAGAAATAACTGAATTCAACAGAATAAAAATTTCACCATTTTAAGAAAGGTAGGGGGCTAGAGAGATGGCTCAGTGGTTAAGAGCACTGGCTGCTCTTGCAGAGGACCCGAGTTCAATTCCCAGTACCCACATGGCAGGTAACAATGGCCCATAACTCCAGTTCCAGGGAATTCAAAGCCTTCTGATTTCTTCCAGCATTGCATGACAAGGTGCACTTATATACATGCAGGTAATACATTTATATGCATAAAATAAAAAAATAAAATAAGAAATTTTTTAAAAGGTAAAGATATACTTTGATGTCCGAACACAATATAAAAAAGAAGTTAATATCAGCTCCTTTTAAAGCTTAAAAATTTTTTTAAATGTGTATTAATGTTTTACCTACATGTATGTATGTGCGCCTGTGCATATAATGCCCACAGGGACCAGAAGAGAGTGTCAGATCACCTAGAACTGGATTTAAGATGGTTGTTAGCCACCACATGGCTGCTGGGAACTGAACCCAGGTCCTCTGCAAGAGCAGCCAGTGCTCTTAACCACTAAGCAATCTCTCCAGGCCCTCAAACTTTATTTTTTTTTGTAGACAAGCTCTCACTATATATAGTTCAGGCTGATCGCAACCCCATAATCCTCCTGCTTCAACTTTCCAGATGCTGTGATTATAAGTACGTATCCCCATGCCTGGCTAGCTTCAAGCACTCACCAAAAAATTCCTTCAAATGATAAACTCAGCACGCAGGGAGGCAGAGGCACGCAGATCCCTCTGAGTTCAAGACCAGCCTGGTCTACATAGTGAGTTCTAGGCCAGCTGGGGCTACAGGCAGACCCTATCTCAAAAAAGAAAACAAACAAACAAACAAAAAACAACAAAACAACCCTATCACAAGCAACTTTCCAGCTCCATTTTAAAAATATTTATTTGTATTTGAGCATACTGTCTCCATGTAGGTAGGTGCACACATGTTATGTAATGCCCACAGAGGTCAGAAGAGGGTGTTGGACCTGGAACTCAAGTTATGGATGGCTGTTAGCTGCCATGTGGATGGTGAGACCCAAACTTGGGCCCTCTACAAGAGCTGCCAGTGCTCTTAACCACTGACCCATCTCTCTAGCCCCTAGCTCTCTATTTTTTAAGTTTTTTATATCTTGAGGGTTTCTCTAACATAAGTGACACTGTCTCAGAAACTAACTCTGAGAATTAATAGTTACAATGATTACCTTTACAACACTGCAGTAACAAAACGAAATCAAGGGCAGAGCAAAGATCAACAAACTTCTCATTAAGAATCAGATAGTAAATAATTTAGGCTTTGCAGGATATACCCAACTCAAGAGTTACTGTTGAAGACTGTTGGCATTCTAGGGAAGTATTAGGCAATGCTTAAATGATGGCTACTTTATTTACAATAATTGCAAAAAAAAACTTGACTTAGCCTACAATCTACTGTGCCAACCCTAATACACAAAGACTTCTGCATAACAAGTCCCCATTGCATGTGTCTAAAATCTTGAATATAAGTAGTCTATGCACTTACAACGTTTGTAGGAACAGAATTTCAAAGACAAATCATTTCAAAAGTCAACTGTCTTTTAAGTTACAATGTAATTACACAAATGGAAATAAGTACATTAAACACTAAAAGAACAGTACTTAACATTTGGAAAATGGTTAGATTGTGAGATGCCATTGGCTAACCCTAGGGTAAAGCAATATAAAAGGTGAAAAAGATAAGCCTCCTGCTCTTGAGAACTTTGTAACATAGTAAAATGGAAAGGTATGACAAGCAGAAATGAAATTAAATATAAAGAAAAAAATAATGATGGAAAAAGAACAGGTTCAAAATTGGACTAACCCAAATACCAGTGACTACATAAAAGCTTAAGCAAATGAGTTATATTGCATGGTCTATCAAATACTAGGGTCTGTACTAGGCATGGTGGTTCATGCCTTTAATCCCAGCAGTCCAGGGGCTGAGAGAGGAAGAACATCAAAAGTTCCAGGCCAGTCCTGGGCTACAGAATGAGGCCCTGTCTCAAACAAACAACTTAAAACACCAACAAAAGAAAAAGAAAAAGCTGTGGCTCAATATATATCTTAAAGGGAAAAACCTGCCAAGGCTGGGCATGATGGTACATACCTATAGTCTTAACTACTCTGGAAGCTAAGGCTGGAGGACTACGTAAGTACAGGAGTCTGAGGCCAACCTCAGCAATGTAAAAAGGCTCCATCTTGATAATAATAAGTTCTGGTGAGGATAAAGAGCAACTGGAATTCTAATACACTGTGGATGGAATGCAAAACAGTAGATGCGCTTTGGGAAACAATTTGGCATCTTTTTATAATGTTAAACATCCATCAATCACATGACCTGGAAATTCTATTCTGAGGTGTCTACCTGAGACAAATAAATATTCAGGTTCACACAGAAACCTGTTATGCAGAAACTTACAACAGCTTTATTCACAACTACCAGAAATTAGAAACAACTCAGACAGCTCAAAAATATTTTAAAAACCCATTACAAGCACTGCTGGGGGTGGGGGGGCTGCCACAGTATATTAAATTATACAAAGTCTCACCTTTTTAAATGAAATAATCCATAATCATGCTCTGCAAGAAACATCATTGTTCTAACGCATGTCAGTAAACAGTTGTAGCTGCTTTCAGAGTTCCCTAAAGTGGCTAACAGACAGTCACAGATTGAGGCCATCAGCTCTTTATTTGGTAAAGAATTGGAAAGCTGCTCGAGTTCAGAGATAGGCCCTTCAGAAGAGGTTGGCAAAATGAGTGCAATGTCCTGTGGAGGAAAAGAGCAAAGAAGATACAATGATTATCAACATCACTTACCACTGTTATTTCAGAAATATATAGCAATTAATACTTAGTAAGCAACTCATTAAAATAGTATTTTTATGATCCCATCACAAAAATAGACTCAGATATATAAAGAACAAATGCCTTTATAAAAGTTATTGTAAGAATGCAAATCTAAGATAATAACCACAGTATTTTACTTTACACTATTTTTTTTTTCTTTTCTTTCTTTTTTTGTCATTTTGAGACAGGGTCTTCCTGTAGCCCCAGTTGGCCTGGAACTCCCTAAAGAGACCAGGGTGGCCTTGAACTCACAGAGAAAGGCCTGCCTCTGCCTCCCAGGTGCTGGGATTAAAAGCGTATACCACCACGCTCATCCACTTTACACTATTTTTTATTTAAAAATAAAAATTGGGGGGCTGGAAGAGATGGCTCAGTGGTTAAGAGCACTGACAGAGGACCTGGGTTTGATTCCCAGCACCCACATGGAGGCTACGAACCGTACTTAACTCCAGTTCCAGGGGAATCTGACGCCCTCTTCTGACCTCCACAGCACTGCACAACAAAGGTGCACTCACATACATGCAGTCAATACAGTCATACACATAAAAACAAAAAATAATAAATAAAATATATATTTTTTTAAATTGGGGGTGGGGCAGGCATAGTGGCCCACGCCTTTAATCCCAGCACTTGGGAGGCAGAAACAGACAGATCTTTGTTTGAGGCCAGCCTAGTCTCCATAGGGAGTTCCAGGCCAACTGTGGCTACAGGGAGACACTGTCTCAATGTTTTTTTTGGTTTTTTGAGAAGGGGTCTTCCTGTGCCTCAGCTGGTCTGAAACTCCCTGTGGAGACCAGGCTGACTTCTGTCTCACAAGATTATCTGCCTGCTTCTGTCTCCCAAGTACTGGGATTAGAGGTGCATGCCAGCACGCCCAGCCCTAAAAAAAATTTTTTTTTAAATCTTCCATTTGCATACAAAAAAAGAAATTTAGCATTCCCTTTGATAAGGACGGAAGAGGCCCTCGGGTCTAACAACACAAATATTAAGGCCTTTCCACTTACTTTCTGGCATCTAACTAGATTTTTATCCCAGAATATTTACTAATATTCTCTGCCTAAGAATTTCTAAGGAGTGGGGAGGATAACAGACTACATGAGATGTGAAAGTGGAAGAGAGACTACAAGGGGCAAAGGGGACAAATGGAGTACTTGGATGGAAGAAGATAAAGGACCAGTCAAAAGCAAGCATGTACAAAAATGCCATCATAAGGGATCTTGTTACTCTATATGCTAATTTATTTTTATTGTTCTGTGTATGAACATTATGCCTGCATGTATGTAACTGTACCCATGTTGTACCGTGCCCATGGAGGAGGGGAAGAAGGTAGCGGGTCTCCCGGAATTGGGAGCTTCAGACAGTTGTTAGCTGCCATGTGGGTATGGGGATTCGAACGTAGGTCTTCTGCAAGAACAGTGCTCTTAACCATTGAGCCATCTCTCCAGCCCCCGTATGCTAATTTAAATTTTAAATTTTCCTTCTGTACTGTACTTAGTGTAGTTTCAATTTTCAAATGGTTAAAAGTGTTTTGGTAGTAAAATATTTTATATCATTATTATTCCCTAATTTATACTCTTTTAGTTTATAAAGAAATTTCCAAGAAATAAATATTCTTTGGTTAAACTTTTAGTAAATATTGATATTGGAATTTAAAGCTTTATAAAAAGGAATAAATGGAGCAAACAAACTTATACAAGCACAATCTTCAATAAACTATTTCCCTCTACTTTTTATACTTTCTAAATTCAACCTTTCTAATATAAGAAATTTAACTAATGACACCCATGGAAATTTCCACTACTCTTTTTAGGAAAGAAAACTGGGTTTTATAGGAGCATATGGGCATATTTTAGCACAATTCCTTCCTCACTCTGCAAACTGGGATTCAACATAGCTTAAAGGTGATACACACATGTATGAATCAAAAGGGAAACACAACAAGTGAGGCTCTGCATGAAGTCTGAGGTATAAGGGCAATAAGAATGTGCTAACACTATTCAGCAGTATGAGAAACCCAGTGGCAAGTAGTTAACCAACACCAATCACATGGATCCTCTGCAGGTACAAATTTTCAATCAGGTCCACTCCTTCTGGAAACAAGTCACACACCAGAAAAGTTCCTTAAGTCTATAACCAAATTGGATTCTTGTCTTGCAACATAGGATTTTACTAATATTCTCTGCCTTAAAAAAAAGTCAGATGGCTAGCTGGCATGAACATTCTGACTAGCTAAAATGCCAATAGGCATGGAAACATTCTTTAAAGATTCCAATCACAATGAATTTTAAAAAGGTAAAACAGGAGCTAGAGCGATGGCTCAGTAGTTAAGAGTACTGGCTGCTCTTGGACAGGACCCAGGTTTGGTTCCTAGCACCTACATGGTACCTGACAACCATCTGCAACCCCAGTTCTAGGGAACCTGATGCCATTTTATAACCTCTGTGGGCATTGCACAACACAGGTGCACCTACCTACATGCAGGCAATACACTCATGCACATAAAATAAAAATAATACTATATAAAAATGAAAAGGTAAAATAGTATCACTGTCTCATGAAACTATAATCAAGTCAATAAAACACACAGCAGCCAGGCGTGGTGGCACACAACTTTGATCCCAGCACTTGGAAGGCAGAGGCAGGCAAACTGTGAATTTCAGGCCAGCTGGGGCTACAGAGAGATCCTGTCTCAAAAAGACCAAAAATAATAAATAAATAAATAAATAAATAAATAATAAATAAATAAATAAAACAGCAGGAGAAAAAATTACATTATCAAGCAGTCATAATCTGACATACACTAAAACTGTAGCAACCCTTGATGCTTCAGAAGTTGTCCACACAAACTAGGCATAGTGCCACCCACCTGTAATATCACCACTTGGGAAGCGGAGGCAGGAAAATCAGGAATTCTAGGCTAGCCTTGGCTATGCACCAAGTTTGAAGCCAGTTAGGTAGGGCTATATGAGACCCTGTCTAAAAAAAATATCAAATAGGGCAAGACAGATATAGTTAAGAACATATACTGCTCTTGTAGAGGACCTGAGTTCAGTTCCTAGTACCCACACACTGGGTTCATCAGGGGAACCAGGGATGTCAACTGCACTCATATACACATATGCATAGAGACACAAACATATACACAAGTAAAAACTAAAAAATAGCCAAGCATGGTGGTGTATGCCTTTAATCTCAGCACTCAGGAGACAGACAGGCAGAGCTCTGTGACTCTGAGGCTAGCTTGGCCTACACAGAGAGTTCTAGTTCGGCCAAGGCTACATAGTGAGACCCTGTCAGCGAAAGAGCATATTAACTCAACCAATAACAAAGCTACAGATTCCAAGAATGTCCTGTTATGTATCAATTTGAAGGAAGATTGTTATAGTAAATATTAATCAACCCTAAGATACGCTGAAACAGCAGCACAACAGCAATCAGCCAAGGTCGCAATACTACTATAAAAGGGAAAATCTCTTCAAAAAAACTCATAGGTGCCGGCCATGGTGGCATACACCTTTAATCCCAACACTCAGGAGGCAGAGGCAGGTGGATCTCTGTGAGTTCAAGGCTGGCCTGATCTACATAGTGAGTTCCAGGACAGCTGGGGCTACAGGGAGACCCTGTCTCAAAAACAACAACAACAACAACAAAAAAAAAACTCATAGGCTAAGTCAAGAAAACCATGAAGCACAAAATCATTTTACTTTTCATTAACTTCTCAAATATATCTTCCTAAATACAGGAGTATTCTCAAATATATCTTCTCAAATATATCTTCCTAAATTACAGGAGTAATAAAACACAGGTGACCGTTTTACAGTGAAGATTCATACCAAGAGAAGCAGTAAAGCACATATCATATAAACACATACACTGACTGTATAAACAACTATAAATACCTGATCACAGAGAGACTGCAAAATGGATGTGACATACTCAACACATTGCTGGCGAATAACACTGTCTCCAGGAGACCGCACCAAAGCTAAAAGATCCTGGAATATCTCTGCGTATCGTTCATCACCTTTAATAGTTCCATTAATAAGATGCAAAATTGCTAATTTACAAGCTTTGTGTGAAGCCAGAGCATCAAGAAGAGCAAGCAACCTGGCAGTTTGGCTAGTATACTGCTTTTCTTTATCTTCTGAAGTGCTGAAATAAAATCAATATATTTAGTAAACAAGGTTCTTGATTTTAATGGCATTATTTTAAAATCTTCTATACATATCAACCCACACAAATCTTGCATAAACTATCTCATTCCTGATATAATGATACTTTTTCTGGAATTTTACAATTACTATAAAATTTCAAAAGCTCAACTTTCTAATAATATATTTCAAGTCAGAGTAGTTGTTTAAACTTCACCTTTTAAAAGCTCAAAATTAGGCCAAGGAGATGGCTCAGTGAGTAAAAGCACTTGTCTGCAACCCTGATGACCCCCAGAACCCATGTAAAGGTGAAAGGAGTGCACCAACTATATAAAGTTGTTCTCCAACTTCCATACATTTACACACATACTCACACACACTACACAACAACAAGAAAATGAATAAAGCCTAAAATCAAGACCTTCAACATGTCTTATACATGAGAGAAACCTAATGAAAAATAATTTACATATTTTAATGTGTGTGTGTGTGTGTGTGTGTGTGTGTGTGTCTGTGTGTCTGTATATGTATATGTGTTCTGGGCTTACTAAACCCTGTTTTCCAAATTCTAAGTGAAAAGGTATATCTGTGTCAAGAATAACTTGAGAAAAAAAGTTCTTAAGGCAAAATGAAAATACCTTTGCAAGTCTTCTACAATCAAATCCAACACAGTTCTCATAATCAGAAGTGCAGTTGGTGAGGCAAGGTCACACAATTGAACACAAATACGTCGTAACATATGCTGAATGGGCTGGCAGGTTGTGCCAGAGAAAGAACGAACTATTTCTTGGAGCAACTTTGCTTGAACATGAAGGTGCATGCTCCACAATTTTCGGGTGTTGAGTGCCACTGATATATCATGTGGCTCAATAACCTGTTAAAAAAGTATAATGTGTGTGTACATAGATTTTTAATATTTATTTATAGTTGCAAAACTGTTCAGGAAGAATTGTTATAAAAAGAACATCTTTACTGCATGCTTAAAACATAATTTTCTATTACACAATTAAACAATTGTTTGAATCCAACAAGTCTAAAAACTTATTGTTCTCAGGTTAGCAGTCAGTTGAGCAGAGTCCATGGGTGAAACAATCTAACTGGAAAATTCTAAAACATGATAAAAGGGAGAAAAAGAATTTGAAATAACAGAAAAATGTAAGTACAAGTATACATAACATAATAAAACTCACTTTAACAAAAATTATTTAAAATGTTACCCTCATATTTCCTCAAAGACCAACTTGCTTCAGTTTTTATCTCACCCTCATTCAGTTATTTTATGTCTTTTGGGGGGGAGAAAGATGAAGGCTTGCTTTTGTTTTTACCAAAATCACTGGCTTTATTTAAAGTGTTATTGCAGTCATTTATAAGATGCATGTTATATGGAAGTGATACCTGAGTTGTTTGCATGGGCAAAGGAAGAGGCAGCAGCTCTGAAAGGAGTATGAGTCCAGAAAAAAATCCTTCAGGAACCTTCAAGATGGAAGAAAGAACTTCTTTTAACATTAAAGACCAAGTATTATTGGCCAGGGTTTCTTCAGAGATTGTGAGCTTTTCATTAACTCCTTGTGTAAAAGTCAATAAAATATCAATGATATCATTCTGAATTTTCTGTTCATCACTATCCAAACGACCTGAGAGAGGAATAGAGCACAGGAGCATGTGTAAAGTAACAAGAGCTGAAGGAACACGCATGTCCTTAAACTCAAAGGATCCACCTCTCAGAAGCTCTGTCAACATAGTTTTAAGAAGAGTGAGCGTGCAGCGAGCCATCGAAACAGTAGTAACTCTGTGAAGGGTAGTCCCCATGTTGACATGGAGCCGCCAAGGCTGGGTCAAAATAGAGTTCAATTTCTGCAGAACCCGAATAAAGGTGTCC